TGGGAACGCTGAGACACTCGTCTGTGGAAGAGCAGAAACCCACTTGTCATCTTGTCAACCAACGCGAACACCGCCACCAAAAGCAACCCCTTCGCTACGCTAGAAAACAACAGTTCTGTCCCGTTGGCACCATTCCAGCTGCGTGGTCCGAACTCATCATTGTCATGGTCCAACATCCAACTGCCCCAAAAGGTACAATTGTTCTCAGTAACAACCTGATCTCCTCAAGATCGACCAAGGGGCACGCCAATCAACGATACGTCGAGCTCCGTCTGGAAAGTGGTTTTGATTGTCAGCTTCTCCCCCTCTTGAGGATTTTTAGGAAGGTCTTTCATCCACTCCGTGCGGCCAAAGAAGCGATGGAAAATATCCAATGCATGCAGCTCAATCGCAATGCGACAAGCGACTCGGTCAATCTGCCCTTGTAATCTGGCACGCCATTCACTTTCGCCATGAGACCACAAGTCTATAGCTTGAAGGACGCCCATCACAATGTCTTCCACCCACTGCTGAATTGTTGGCGCTGTCAAATCTGCCAGAAGTCCACATACCCGGTCTTGCACCCACACCAACCCATCTTTGACGGCTCTTTGCGCAAATGTGTCAAACATTGTATACCAGCAGCGTGCAAAATATCATTGACAAAAGGACGTGCCGCAGACACAATGTAGTTGGAAGCTGGCCGTGCCCAAAGAGAGTTCACTGCATTCAGGATGGAATTGAAAGGTTCTTTGAAGATTATGGTTAGCGCACCCAGTTCGGGCAACACCTTCTGAAGGACCCATTTCTCCAAAATGCCGCCAACCGCTTGCAGTATCCAAGCGAGAAGCCCTTCCAGAAAGTGGTCTGCAACAAAGCGCACAATCAAGAAGGACAAGTATCGTACACTGGTGTAGCCCAAATAAACTAGATGTGCCATGTCGCTGATTTTGCGAAGGATTGCCTCGAGCCCACTGTGCAAGGCGTCAGCAAGTGTGTCCTTGGCGAACCTCTCCAAGAAATGCGAGGCCACATGAACCACGGCGTTCACAAGCAGTTTCCCTAATTCACAAGATTCTAAACGATCTGTTAGATGCTTCCGCGACGACTTGGCCTGGACAAGGAAACTCATGAACTCAGAGAGCACCAGCTTCTCTACAGAACCAAAGATGTCCCAAAGCTCCTGCATGCTGTGTCCCAGTGAGTGCAAGGAAATCGCACCATCCAAAGCTGAAGATAACGCCCCAGAGACTGCAAGCAGCTGCTGCCAGTGTAGCAACGCGCGGTTTGCATCCACTTGGAATGCGGAGTGGGCAGCTTTCGGTTGTGCGGAAAGTGCCCAAGCTCCGAAACCACGTGGACTGAGCAGAAGGTTGATGCTTGCGGTTTCGTTGTCGAATGGAGTTGCGTCCGCAAAGGTCTTACAATTCAGGATGAGCAAGCCGCACAGGAAAGAGCCATGCATTGCAGTTCGATTCATCTTTCAAGGCTACCCTACAATGAACATCTGCTTTGGGTTACAGGTGAGCTTGGTTTCTTCCAACATGCTTTAGCCAGCGCAAGCGTCGCATTCTTGAGCTACTGCAAATGTCGCAGCAGGTACGTATTGGAGCTCAAATGTCCCGCCAAATCAATGCTTCAGCACTGGAAACAAAGAGTTGGAAACTGTGCACACGGTGCACGCGGATATGCTGAGGTTTGCAACGTCAGGACCCAAGCTGTACAATCTCATTGGGAGGATCAAGCTCAGCTGCAAATACCCACGCTCCTCTCCACATGAGCCATGTAGCCCATTCTGCAAGATCTCATTTCCTTGTCCCTCGCAGCCATGGCCCACCCCCGGCCTCTGCGCGCTGCCTTTACCAGGCCTTGTGCTTGGCCTTGACGTGTGGGCAGCTGTACCAGCTGCAGGTCCTGCTGGGCGTGCAGACGGGCAGGCCGTTGCTAGACTCTTCATAATCCCGAGTGGGACACCACCACAACAAGGGAACCCGCTAGAATACACTGTGAACAACCCAGGAGATTTCTGAGTGGTTCGCCTTTCAGCTCGCCGAAAGGATGGATTGTTAACAATCGCCAGCAATAGCAAGCTCCAAAGACTCCCCGACTGCACCTGGGATCTGTTGTAGAGTCATTCACTGCACGAATTTGAAGGCTCCTGACCGCTATGCAACGTGCAACCACTTGCGTCCCCCTGCTCCAGCTTTGCACTTGGTCAAATCCAACCTCCCCCCCCCGCTCCACTGGCTTCGTCAAATCCCAGCTCGCATTGTTGACCTGGACAGGTCACGCAAAGCATGTCTAAGTCAAAGAAAGCAGTCTATTGGGTCAGCAATGGTCTTAGAGTGTGCGAACCTGATTCTGAAGGTGCGATTGACTGCGATGCGCTTGGTACCTCTTTTGCTGCTCTGCTGTTCAGTGATCCACTCAGGTGTTGAACCAGTGAATCCGAGTCGCCAACCTTGACCATCTGAACCTATCTGCGCATGCAAAAATCAGCATTGACATCGGGAAACTTCTGAAAAGATTTCTTAGCTTGGCTGCTCCAGACCTCAATGTCACCAAGAATGTGCTTTTTTGAGGCTTCCCTTTTCTGGAGTCCGGCCAAACAAAAGCACGAGCGCAAAACAAACTACATCCTGCGCATCCGATATTTTTCCCAAAGGCATTGCCAAGGGTTCTCCAGTAAAATCGCCAGGCTTATCACACAACCAAACTTGCACGAGCCAACTTGCTCGAGAAATCGCACAGCCAAACTTGCGCGAGCCAACTTGCGCGAGAAATCGCACAGCCAAACTATGACGAGCCAACTTGCACGAGAAAGCTCGCGCAAGACATGTGGACACAAAAGTAACTAGTTTGTCTCTGAAGGAGGTGCGGTGGGACCGCACCCACTCTGCAAAAATGACACCCTCTGCGCGGATTGAAGTGGTCGATGTCAAAAACCCGCGGGCTTTCTACGATTTCTGATTTGGATGTGCGACCCTCTGCGGGGATTGGCGTGATTGATGTCCAAAAACTGAGGACTTTCCACGATATCTGATTTGAACGTGCGACCCTCTGCGGGGATTGCGTGGCGTCTACGACATCTGATTTGAACCTCTGCGCGGATTGGCGTGACTGTGGTCGATGTTCAAAAGCTGCGGACCTTTTACGATTTCTGATTTGAACACGCCTGCAGGGATTGGCGTGGTCGATGTGCAATATCTGAGGGCTTCTTACGATTCCTGATTTGAACGCTGTTAATACAATTTGTCCAAGGGCTTGACAGTTTGTCTAGTGGTTTGCATGCCTGCTCTTTGAAGCGAGCAGCCCCGGGCTCGAATCGTGGTTGGTCTCCGCGGCTTCTAAGGCAGCGCAAAACCAACTCGCAAAGTGCTCTTTCACAGCTCCGGCTACAATTCGCAACTTTCAAAGACGAAAGTAGTACGCGAAGTACAATTTCGCCAGCTTTGGCTGGAACATCGCAATCAGTACAAAACTCTTGCGCGAAGTACACTTTCAGAAAGGCTCCGGCGTAAAGATCGCAACTTTTAGGAAAGAACTCTTTGCACGAAGTACACTTTCAGAAGGCGGCTGGCAGATCGCAACTTTAAACTACGAAGTATTACACGAAGTATACTTTCGCAGGTCTGGATCCACAGTTGGAATCATGCCGAAAGGTTGCTGTGTTGTGGTCAGTGCGACGGCTATAAAAAATCAGCAGCTGCCACGTGCACATAAGAAGGAAAGAAAACACACACACACACACACAGGCATGAAAACAACAATCACTTGCGATTATGCTTCCGGGCCACTCGTGGTTCTAGATGTTGTTTTTTTTTGGGGGGTGTCCTGGCATTTGGAGTCGAATGGGCTGAAAGTCAAGCCAAGGTTTCAACATGAATGTCTTGCAAAAGGACATGCGAAGTCTGGTCTAAGTGCAGTTCGCGGAGCGTTGCGTCATACAAATGCCCTATACAGTACCAACTTTGAACCAGATCTGCTTGAGGGTGGAGACCAGTGACCAGATTTCCTGTTCACGCTTCGCATTTGATCTCAAGCAAATGCGATTCAATTGGCCAAGGGAGCCAAACCTGGCGAAGCTCCTGCTTCAGTGGTGCCAGCTCGCATCAATTAGATTTGCAACGAGGCTCACAACATTCCGGGGATTCTCATAAACAAACCGACTGGCAAGCACTGGCAAGTTGTCAGTGCGCACAGGGCATCAAAATCCTACGGATACGCTGCAGTTAGCATGCCACAGGGATGCCATCATCTTGAGCCGAAATCATGCTGGGATCTTTCTTGGTCGCTCTTGCTCCTATGCATGACTCGCCTTGATTTTGACAAACTTCGGCATCCATCCCGGTTGCCTGCCTCTTGATCCTGGAGGAACAATCGCTGCCGGTAGTGTGGAGTTCCAATCCTTGGGAGCATTGTACTGGATCTTTTGCGGGGATCGACGCAATCGCGGAACGTGCTGCTCGGATTCAGAGGAGCAAGCTGGGCAAGGCTTTGTGAGCGACCACACCTGAAACAAATCTGCCCGCTGCAAGTTATTTGCATAGAAAGGCATTGCCACCCAGCAAAGGAGGTCCATGACTGAACACCTCACGATCGTCGGCAGCCATGTCTGAAATCATTGTCATGCCAGCCCTTGGAGCATGGTGTTACCAGGCACAGTGATCCTGGCCTCTTACTTGGCATCAGCGCAAACGGCCATGCAACGCTTCGATCGCTGAGGCTCAAAGACTCCAAATGCATCTTCAGCTGCTTCCCGAAGTTCTGGCCGCTCGCCATGCGTCTTACAGCCTCTGCATCAAGGCTGGCCACCACGTTCCCGGAGACCGCCAGCACGCGCAACATGGCGCATGACGGCTCACCGAGCGGGCCTGGATACTCTTGAGAGGCTGAAGACGGGCAGGCACGATGCAAAGCAGTTGGATCTAAGAAGGCTGATGCAACTACTGGGGTGCTGCTGGAGTGAAAAGCTTTGCCAAGGGGCATCTCCGTGCCACGCAAGACATACAGAAAACAGCTCAGCGCTTTTTTGCTCTTCCTTCTGCGTCCCTCGCCGCCAGCGCCCTGGCAGTGCCTTGGAAGACTTCTGTGACCCATCTGGGCGGTCAACGTTCAAATCTCGAGCAACAACATCCAACACACACTGAGCTGATTGCCACCTATCGATGAGCTCATTTCGAATACAAACAAACCACACGAAACACGTCAAGTTGTGGGATGCTGTATCAAACGAACGCGGCCAAGAGCTCCTTTATGTGCTCTCTACCCTCTTGCGTGTCACCTCGATACCGAACCCGCCTCTACCTCCTTCAGCGGCGCGTCCCCATCTTCAGTCCAATGCAGGGAGCAGCTCTGGTCGGCACCCTGCAATGTGATGAATAGGATTCTCTGCTGGCTTGGTACTGTGGATAAGCCACCCAGCGGACAAGGTGTGGTTCTGAGGGTCAAAAAGAGCCCGCGTACACACACATTCTGCATGCTTCCCGTCCAAACAAGCCTAACACGGCCAACACATTGGAGCAGCATGCCTTGGCCACTTCCACATCCGCGTGCATCTGCAAAGTGAATTGCACCCGCTCTGGAAGCATCTCCTGCCAGTCAGGGGGATGGACTCTGTGGCAATCCTTTGCTCAATGTTAAAAGAGGCATTCTTTCAGAGCCAACCTGGCCACATGGGGCAAATAACTGCCCAAGGCTTGCTTGAACATACGTCCCGATCTTGACGCTCGCCGTTAGGCAAGTTGTTGTGTCGTGCAAATGACTCAGGGCTTCCTTTGATGGTTTGCATTGGCCTGGGGAGAGGAGAACCCCTTGCCTTCTTGACTCCCTCCCTCCAAACCACCCGAAAGAGATGAGTGAACACCTGAGAGATTGTTTTCCTCATCTCGTGGTTGCGCATAGAGCCACTTCTCCCGCAGCGGCCCCCCGAGCGCCACCAGCATACCTGTCCGAGGCACATTGGAGGACCGCTTCCATGGTCGAAACTCAGAAATGGGAATCATCCAAATGGTCGTGTCTTTCTTTGAGGGTGCCGGCGTTTTGTGGCTTGTAAAGGCAATTGTTGGGGCTACCTATTTTAAGGCAAACCCACACTACCCCACTCCACGATCAGGTGGTACTGTACTAACGCCAAGTACGGTCAAGCATGGTCAACATGAGCAAGCAAACAAACAATCGCAACAGAACGACAACTCCAATCTGGCCGCTGCTATGGTTTTATTTTATTTAAGATTTTGCCTAAAGGGAAAACACATCCGAAAAGGGTGCTGGTTGCTATATAGTGTTTTCCAGCCCCGCAACACACAAAACCATGTTGTCTTTTCAAAATTGTTTTGCAAGCCATACTTTGCAGGGTGCCACACAGTGTGCTTGTGTAACAGGTCACTCAAAGTTTTGACTTCAGCCACCAGGGTCAGCAACATGCGACTCACAATAACAGTTTGCCCTTGAGCAGGGTTTCCTGTTTGATATTTTCAGCAGGGCCTGGAAAGCTCAAGGCAGCCCAAGTCCAGACTAGGCACCATGAAGCAGACGCTTCCTCCATGCAAGCCACTCAATAACCTGAACAAGTCTCTTGCCTTCTTTCAGCGGGATGTTCACAACAACCACCTCGCGGCGTCCACGGCCGTGGTACCAAGGAATGCCGTGGATGTGGTACCTTGGGAGCTGAAAGACAGGAGAAGGCACTGTGTTTCATGCAATGGTGCGAATGAATTGTACCTGTGGTTGTTGTAGGCGCAGCAGCCAACAAGCACAAATCTGACACTTGAATCGCGGCAGTGAAACAATGATTCTAAGCAATGATTCTCAGGCAATCATTGCTCATGCAAACCATGTGAGATCAGTGTTTACGGAATCTGTCCAGTGATGTGACTGGGCGGCGATTCAGGCGTGACCAGGCAACTGCCAACACCAACACATGTCGGGAATCTAGGTGCATCCCTTGGATCGGCCCCACTTGTGAGCCCAACATGTGCGGTTTCCCGGCTCACCCCTCACACCAAGCCTTCTCTATCAAAAGGCCGCTGGAAAGCTGCTGGTCTGTGCATTCTACAAAATCCTTGAGGAAGGCTAGACGAACTGACGTTCGCTTTGAATTCCTGAGAAGCTCCAGGACCACGTCTTTCCATGGCTGAGGCACAATCTCGTGGCGCCGACCGCCATCAAGCCGATGACCGAGTCCTTGCTCCACCCACAGTGCGTCGCATAGGTATGGGGGCCGTCCTTGAGGTGAACTCCTTCGGATGTTTCGTCAACGCTATTTGCCTTTCAGATTTCAAGCATGGTGAGTTCTGTTTCAGTTTGTTTTAGGCATACCAGCCCTTGCAGGATTACTGAAGTGATATTAGCCTGTCACTATACAGAAGCATGTGAATAGGTGCACTCGACAAGTGACAACTGGTCGATCGAAACTTCCTCTGCTGTCAGATATGCAAAGTTTGAAGGGACAGTTCTTGCAGAATGACACGTCTAAAATTGATTCCCAGGGTGTGCACTGACAAGTCTACTGCAACTACAGGGCACGCAATCCTGAGGTATGCTCTTCGGACACCAAAGACCAATGCCTGCTACTGGTGCGTGAAAAGCTCCTGCTTGGTTGCCATCCCTCTGCGTCGTCAGTCACCCAACACTGTTTGCGGCAACAGTCGTTGTGCTCTCATTCATTCAGCAGAACTTGGTTGACAGCAACCAAACTTAAGTTGAGAGATGTTTCTCAGCACCTTGACATTCTTAAAAGCGGGCCCCACTAAACCTAGAACATAATTGCCATTCAACATCGGCAAATCAAGCTCTTTATGATATGATGATTCCAAGTCTTTGGGGCCAAACATTTGTGATGACTCAATGACAAGCAGGTGCGTAGTCGAATTGAACCCAATTCTCCGGACGCCAGCTGCGACATACGTTGTCGCAGTGGCCTGTGAGCAAAGCATGCTCCGCACCTACGTGAGCAACCTGGTAACCTATGGAGAGACGAGACCCGGGATTCTCCACGCTCTCCCGAGCGAAGGAGACAGCACCCACGGCATTGCCCGGGTTCGTTTTGTCAAGGCGCAGTCCTGTTGGTCCGGTGGAAGGGGTCGATGCTTTGCAAGGCCAAGCTGCATTTTTTAAGGACTCGTTGCCAGCATGACACGAAAGCGGGTTCCCGTTTTTGGATGGCTTTCAGTTGAATTTACAAGAAAACCCAACCTGAAGAGGTTCCAACTTCTTGAGGAACACCCATTTCGGCAACCCATTTCGGCAACCCCGGGCCCCCCTGACCCTCTCCTGGCGGCTCCCAGCGGCACATCGCCCCGTTGAAGGGCGCCGCAGACGCTGCGGAGGCGCTTCTTAGGAGCTCCTTCGCGACAGCGCGCGCGAGATCAAATGAGTTTATACCCTCCCACCAATTAACATGGAATCTGAACAGGGGTAAAAGGAAAATGATCTTCCAGAACCCCCCTGTCAGGTTCCACGTTAATTGGTGGGAGGGTATCTTTTAGTTGGTACTGGTTTCAAAGGGAACCCAACAGGAAAACCAAGATCCATTTTGGGGACCGCTTGAACAAAAAGAAAGGGTTCTGAGAACCCCCAACAAATGGTGGGGAGGGTGGGCATAATTCCAGCCCATTTTCATTGAGTCATCCCCATTGACGGCGCCATTTACGCGGACTGTTTGCGTGCATACAGTGAAGCACCTAGTGCATGTTACGCAAAACAGATCAAGACTTCATGGAGCCCCGTACCAACTTCAACAGGGTCAAACGCACACCAGGTCTAAACAACACAGACAGGGTATTGCAAAATGGAATGTCATTGAATACACAAGGGAGCGCACGGGGTCAATGAGGTCAACCATCTTGCCCGCCGTCCTGAAGCATTCTGACATGACATGTTGTTGGTGGATTCTGCTGAAACTGCAGCGATTTGGTGAGCTTGTGAAATGCCAAGGTGCTATGCCTATGAGAGGCTCTTGATCGAAACTGGCATCAACAGGAGGAAAACAGGAATGCTATGCACAGTTACTCTAACAGCGTCTCGCTGTCTTGCTCCTGAATCTTTGGTGACAGCTTCTGGCCCGGGTGCACACGTGGCGGTGCCACCTTGGCGAGCCGACTATCTCTTGCATGGTGTGTGTGTGTGTGTGAGATGGAAGCTGATCAACACCGATCACCGTCGTTCATCTAGCTTTACTACAGCCTGCTTGCAGGTGCTCGTACATCTTCCAACCAACACCACCTATTGCTCATGCGCTTCTTTGTCCTAGACGTGGCCTGAGTCGCTCATTGCCGAATTCACAAGCGCAACGCGTCGCTTGTCGCCCCACTTTGCCCTGTGAAGGAACTTGGTCCTTTGGCCACAATTGGTCTGCAAAAGACCAAACCCGCTTTTCCCCGCAACAGAAGGTGACAGGATGATGGTCTTGGCTCACTTCACTGATTGTGGGAAAGACCGGGAATCTGGTGATCAGTGCAACCCCTGCCCTGCAATTGCCACAAACCGGCGCTGCATGCGGCCGTGCTGCTCGTCGCGTGTCTCGGTAGTTGTAGTCATTGCAAAGCCAGGCTTCTTTGTGCCGCTCGTTGAACTGAGTGAAGGTCCCATCCTGGGTAAGTCGGCCAGACCAAGTCTTGCCAGCTCCCATTCTCCGAGTCAACAGATTGTTCTCCAGGGTTGACGCAAAATCAACCAAATCCCCATCCCCATTAAAATCCCTTGGATCCTGCCCCATGAAGCATGGTCGAATACGTCGAACACCTCACTCATTCACTTGTCACCTTCAACAAATTCGCTTCAATTGTCCTCGAGTCCTCGAGTCCTCGAACCGAGTCGCTCGATCGTCGAGGCGCGGGATTCCGCACCTGGCGCCGCGGCTGCTCGTAGTCCACCGCCCCAGGCAGCGTGGCCTGCTGCAGCGCGTAGACCGCCGACCGGTTGAGGAAGCCAGGGATGACCTCGCGGCTGGGCTCCGTTTGGGCGATGGGAAAGCTGCAGAAAGTACAAACACCTGCAACATGCGCAACGATTTTGGAAGTGCCCAGTTTTGGAAATTTGCCAGGTGGGCATTCCTGTTGTATTTCCTGGTGGCAAGTATCAGGCAAAATATCTTTGATCGCGCGGGCCCACAAAACCAATTCGATGTTCATAGGGTGCCGGTCAAGGCAACACGTCAGAACAACACCACATGAGGTTCGCGCTGTTGGAATTGTGTGGCTTCCAAGCTGCGGAGTAGCATGTACTCGAGTGCCATGACAAGACTTGCTGTGCGCATGGTGAGTGACAGTTGCAGCGATACCTGTGGGAATGTAGTGCAATGGCAACACTTGCAGCAGCATGTGTGCAAACGTATCCACTGACTTGCTCAGCAAGTCTTAGGATCATTGAACGCCATCTTGACACCTAAATAACACATTCTCCTGTTTTTTCCAATGCTGTCCCGCAAACACTCCAACAAAGCTCCATGTGCATCCGAGTCGCCAGCAAAGATGTGTCCTTGCAGTGCCAGTGCCCAGAAACCAACAACATGACCGAGCACCCTGTGCTCCTCAAGTCTGAGTTTGGCCCGGCACGACTTGAGTATCCTTGGTCAATACCTACTTGGAGCCTCACACCACGTACTTCATTGCAGAAAACACCTGACGGGCTCAAACACCGTCCCGGGCTGCAATGAAAGAGTGCAACAACATGGTCAAGAACCCAGAGGCACTGCTGCAAGGCTTCCATAGCTCAGTTAGTTAGAGCTTGTTTCTTGCCTCTGTGGGAGCATTGTTTCCAGGCGTGTCTTGTGTGTGAAGCTGTGTTAATGCTTCAGGCGCAAGGAAATGCACCTGCCGGGAGTCGAACCCGGGTGCCCTTGCGCCTGCCTTGCTCAGCCCATCAATCCACCCACGTTTTTCTGGCAAACTGAATCCCCGCAAAGAACAAGTTTGAGTTTTGCGACCCAGAGAACCTTCAAGAAAGCCTCTAAAGCAGATTCAGTGTGTCTTCCAAACAAACGTGCCGTTGAGACCTTAGATTTTCGCGCGGCCCTCTGTTTGAGGTTTTGAGATCCCTTCAAGAAGAAGCCTTAAACCCTGCTCCCTGCACCTCAGTACCAGACACATCAACCACCTAAGCCTCATTCCAGGTTTCTAGGGCCACGCAAAACTTTGATCGTCACACAAATGCAATTGCCTCAAGGTACCATCAAGGCGCGGCTTCTAGAGTCCCTCACGTCTTGACACGCAGCTACCTTCATAACCAGGCACCTATTTCCGCATTGCAACCTAAGATGTGCAATCCGTGCTCTTTAGGCAAGGGGCAAAGGGCAGTGCAATCACTAGCGGCTCATCACCAGCTTCAGGGAAGACTCCTCACATGCGGTCGGTCGAACAAATTTTGTGTGTGACCTGCCACGTGTCGGTGGGCCGCATTCAACTCTCCAATAGCATTATCTGTCGCTAAAGACTTGATCCAGTACTTTGCCAACCAGCTACATCACCTCCACTCGCACAGCGGACATTCCATGAAGAGCAAAAAGGCGGGAACCTTCCAAGGACATTCTATGCAGTGTTACTTGCCATTGTTCGAACCGCCCGCCCGTCAGGTGGCAAGACAGTTCATGGCATTACAAGTTTGCAGCACTGCGTGCGTATGTAACGTTCTCAAGAGCGTGCTGTGGGATTGGAGTGTGGGGTGTTGACAGCTGTGTCCATGCCTTGTGCTTGCGCGTGGCTTGACAAATCGGTGCGCCCCCCTCAGGAAGTAGCCTCTAGCAATCTGGGGTTTTAGGGGGTCTGCTGGGGTCACAAACTCAGTTCATTTGAACTGAAGGCGACTTCAAGCAGGGCACGATTTGAAGCGGCTGACTCTTTTGCAGCCCAGGAGCGGGTCTTGTCCCACTCTTCCCACGGCACCACCTAGACACATGTGGCGAGATCTGAAAATTGGTCTGGAAGCACATGCGGCATAGCTGAAGATTCCCTTGCGACGCTTCAAAATCACTGATCCCCAAATAGAAAAAATCGCTCTCCGCCTCGTTTTCCCTCTGTCAATGACAAGCAGAACTCATTCAAGCGCCTTACTCCTTGAGGCCCAGGAGGCCAGTCGGGGCAAGTGGCCTTCATGCTTCCAACTTGACCAATCCATGCATTGCACTCAACCATCTTTGCACGAGTCCTAGAGGGATGACTCAGTACCCACTTCCTGGTTCAAGTGGACTGGATCAAAACTGAAAACTCACCATCATCGCTGAATCATCGCTGATTCTGGCGGGCTTTTGTGCTCAACTCCAAAAAACATTTACATACAACAATGACCTTTAGAAATGTTTTGTTTGCACGTAGGCAGCACGTACTCCCTCCACTGAGCCGAGCAACGTTCTTGTAACGACTTCGAATCCTCAGATGCGCTCCGGAGACTCCAGGCAGCATGGACGCCCGATACCTCTGTCATTAATCTCCTGTCCACACACACACACACCCACGCACTCCTTCCAGAACACAATTGTATGATCTACAGATCTACATGCCACTGCTACTGTGAAGCAAGACCTGCGCCCACATCAAACTCAAGAGGAGATACACTAGCCTGGTCCCCCCAAAGCAACCGGAGGGAAGCTCAGTTGCCTAGTCCTGGTAGAAAGCCCGTGGGCCCAACATTCTAGGCACCCACGTGGGCAACCCGCCACTGCCCGAGGCGCCTTTGTTGCCAGCTGCCTTCGAGGCCAAGTTCAGCCTCCCGCGCGGCCACGGCCTGCTGCACGTGGCTCAGGAGCCGCGCCTCTTTGGCGAAGACGTCCTGACGGCGTCACTGAGGCTACCCTTTCTGAGGTCCGAGGTGATGGTTGAAGGGACACCACAGTAAGGACACCACCCATCTTTGGGGTTGCCGAAAAGGCGGAAACTGAGGCTTTTTGGTTTCTGGTGTGGCTATGAACTTGATGGGAATCCTTCAAGCATGGTGTAAAGCCCCATGTGCATCATGTCCGCCAAAGGGTCAGTTGAACTCCTATGTCGATTCTGGTCCATATTTGTAGTTCAGCTAAAAGCTGAAAACAAACATCTCTGCAAATCCCTAAATGAGTTGGCCGAATCAGGCGCACCCAAAGCCCAAGACTTGGGGGGGTGGGAGGTGGGGGTGGGGGCGGTGGGCCCTGGCCTCTGGCCTGGTGTGGGAAGCTCAGCAGCCGTGGAGGCGCCTCCGGAGATGGCTGCAGATGCTCCACTGGCCACAGCTCCTCCATCGCCCGGTCCGGTTCGAACCGGTCACCCATTCTGCCTCTGGGTTTTTGCTTGCTCGTAAAGTTCGCATGTGCACGGAACGAGTAAGTCTATGCAGATAGTGGAATGCGTCCTTGAAACAGGCATCTACGTGCTTTTGTTTAGCACTACTGTGTGACGGTTCAGCCTAGCATGGCTGAGGTCATATTTGGGCTATGGTTGACTGCGCTGCATCAAGATTTGCGGGGCCTTGCTTTTGGGTTCCGGTTTGCGCTTCGCTTTCCCCCTTTCCCGCTAGTCTTTTTTTCTTTTGTAGCGCTTGTTTCCCATTAGGAGGGCGCCATGCGGACCAGTGAGAACGCACTGTTTGCAAGCAACGTGCTTGTACCAGCTGGCGTGACTTGCACGATTCCAAACATGCACAGACTTTTGGATGCACATGATGACCAGGCCGTGGCCTTTTTTCAACGGCTTTCCATCCGTCCTCCATGCACCCTCTCCACTCGAGCCCATGAAAAACAACATCACCAAAAACGACATCGGCGAGAACTAAGCGCTGCCAACACATCGCCCACCAACAAACGGGTCTGATTTGCGTGTTGTTTGTTGAGGTTACCCTATTTTGGATCGACTTGAAGGGACACCAACTCAATATCACCCCCTGTCCCTTCGAGACAAACCCCCTTTCTGGTGCCATGGGTCATGGCTACGGCAAGGCTCCTGCAGCTGCTGAGCAAGACCAAGGCGGGGGCACTCGCGCACCAAGGCGCGCACGCCCAGGAGGCACACGGGCCATGGCATCTCCTCGAGTTCGCACACATCTGCACATTTCTGGAACAAGACAGATTTGTGACAAGGACGTAGGATATGCTTTCGAGTGACCCTCTTTTGCCTTTTGACTTCAAACCAAAGCACGAGCTTCGCGCGGGGAACCTTTGGCAGGTACACTGGTGTGTATTCGTGCAGGGCTCCTTTTGAGAACACTGGCTTCATTTCCTCTGCCGTGATGCACCCCCGCTGTTCCCCAGGTCCTGCGCAGCAGCCACAACGGCAGCTGCCCAGGAGGGCACATCGTCATCTTGGCCGATGTACTTGTACTCCAGACCCGCCTGCTTCATAGTGCCTTCAAGCACCTGAGGCGCTTACAGTGTGAAGGGTTACTTTGACCAGGCTGTCCGAGGCAGTGCCTGCAGCTCTTTTTTCAACCAGTGGTGTTTGATCCCCCAGTGAACCTGCCCAACAAGGAAAACCACGGAGACGTCCAAGCCTGCAGAACTTGTAGCTCGCATCTCACGCCCAAAGAACAAAAGCTGTGCTTTGAAAATTACCCCTGGCCAAACGCCTGCCAAGGCGCATCGCTGTTGAACCAAGGCCGCTTCGTGCTGTGATCCTGGCACATGCATGCCCAAAACAAGTTCACATATTTGTACCTAAATAGGCTGAAAGTCGCATGGTCACACCAGCAAGGCTGGGGGGCTAGTACATTGAAATTTAGTCATATCTGTCAACACCCACCATCCTTCCCCAAAAGACGCGGGACTCCCCACCAATCCGACCCATCCCCCCGCCAGCTCGCGCACGTCCAGCACGCTCTTCACCCAGCGCCGCAGCAGCTGGCAAAGAAGCTCTGCGCCCAGGTGCCCGCAGCCGCAGGTGAAGATCTGACGAATCGGTTGCGTCGACCAACGGGAACCTGGGAAATACGGAAACAAAAACAACCTAAACTGGTGGACCTAACATGGGCGTCCGATTTTTGCGGGAAGGAAGTTCTTTTTGGGGAACCCACTGGGTTGAATTCCTGGTGTCAACGCAAGGGCCTTCGTGTTGTGGGATATCTGGACACCTCGTCCTCATATAGTGGCTATGGGAATGCCGCCTGGGAAATAGCTGAAAGGCGCCGACGCAGAGTCGGTACAAGCTGAACAGCTTGATGATGGATCGTCTTCAGCTTGCAACGAGGTGGTAGCTTCTACTTAGTCATGGCCCTACCCATCCAGCAAACATGAACAATCATCTAAAGGAACAACCTTTGAACTTTGAACGGCAAAGAAATGCTGCTGAGATAGTAATTACTGCAATGCATCTTGCTGTTGCCATCACCTCCTGTCACAAGTCGCTACTCAAATCTGGGCTATTTCATCTTTTTGAGAAGGGGACAAACTTATGTTCTTGCAGCGCACAGAGGGCACACCAGTTGAGCGAGCCCAAAGAGCGTTGTTCCTGGCTAGCCAAAACAAACACTTCCTCCACAATTCCTCCTTCATATGCCGTAGCGTTCACCAGGAAGTTCCACTGACCAAATTTATAGGCTAAAGGCATGCAAACACGCACTGCATGTATCAACCCGATGCAGGTTGCTTTCCGAAAGCAGGGCCATTTTTATACCGGGTACTTTTTGATACATAATGAATGATATCAGATCAAATTCTATTTGGCCAACCATGAGTACACAAGGCTCACATTGAGCATCCTGCATGTAGATTAGCGTCTCCCCAAGAAACATTGACGCGCACAGACCGAGTACGGAAAAGAATGCTCCACTTGGGAAGGAGTTCTTTGCGCATCCATATTTGTTGGAAGGACATGATGACTGAACACACCAAGTCGGACATGCCATCCCAAGCACCCAGAGTCAAGGCCCCGCCTTCCCCACCTGGTGTTCTGGCAGCTCACCTGTCGAAAAGGCAGCCATGGAATTTATGGAAGCCATGGATGTGGGCGAGAAATAAACAGAGAGTTCCTTCAATTCTTTGGGGTAAGCCTGGACGATCTTGCTGAAGAACCCCTTTCATGTTCGAAGCAAAAGGATGCTGCCTTTCATGCCCACCTCAGAAAGCTTGTGCCAGGGTACTGGCTGAGACGCTGCACATTTGAGACGCACTTCTAGAAACAAACGGAGCAATAGCCCTCATGCCCCTAAACCCCCATGCTCATCAAGACCATCCGTGCACAAACATTCCCTCCTAAGTTTAGCATAATGGGCATTCTGTCTGACCATCTCTGAGGTTTTTGAGGGCAGCTGTTCAGTGGCGACTTTTCATAAGCAAGGCATCAACTGCAGGCAGAAGAGAACAACTCTCTAACATGTCGTCGAACAAGGGCCAAAATGGACCAACGTAATCCAATTACCCACCACGGCCCATGCACCAGCCTTCAAGCGAAGGCGGAGGAGGTGGAGGCTGGGCCTTCTCCTTCCATCGTTTTTTTGGAGGCCTCACTTGCGGGTGTCAGCAATCATCACGGAAAAGGCCTCTACTTGGTGAGTGAACTATGAACCCGACTTGCTCAGAACAAACCGCACGAAGGGGCAACATTTGCGGTTGCCTTTATGCTAGTGATCGTCAACTTTCCGTTTGCTTGCCAGCTAAGTGAAGTTCACGTCCAGGGTCCAAGAGAACAACCCAGAAAGGAACGGCGCAGTAGTGTGTCTGCGCGTGTATTTCTGTTTCTGTGGGTCTTTGTGTGTCTGCTTGTGCTCACGCGCGCGCACGTGCTCCTGCAAGTGTGGGCCTGCGCGCTTTCGCTTGCTCTCGCTCGCTCGCTCTCTCGCTCTCTCTCTCTCTCTCTCTCTTTGTGTCTCTCTCTCTCTCTCTCCCTCCCTCTCTCTCTTTCTCTTTCTCTCTCTGTCTCTCTCTCTCTCTTTCTCTGTCTCTCTCTCTCTCTCTCTATCTCTCTTTTTCCTCGCCCTTTCGCTCTCTTTGCTGGCGTGTGCGTGTGCGTGGCTGTAGGCATGAACTTCGGGGTGTGCGTGTGCATGTGCATGTGTATGTGCTAACGCAGCCACACCGCATCACTAACTTGGAGCACAGGCTTCACACTGAGTGAAATGTCACGAAGGAACACCGCGCAGATTCGGGCCAATTGCTTCCCAGGAGCTCACGCCGGGGTTGGAGCCAGGTCGGTTCCATGGCTGCATCCCGCACTTCCCACTGCCGACGGCCAACTTAGAGCAAGCGCAAAAACTTGGCACAAAGGAGGCCATTCAAAGCCTGTGCCTGCTCATACAACAGGGGCCTTCGCCCTGAAGGCAACGTAACGCGCTGCATTGCTCCTCCACAAACAGTTCGGCATAAGGGACAATACAACACTACAATCAATACCTAGAGCTAAAACACTGGATGCAGCTGGTTTCCTTGGATTGCGTATGACGTTGCATCGATTGACAGCACCTTGAAGCTGAGCGTAGAATCTCTTCCTTTGATCCAGGTGCGCTCAGAAGCATTCCAAGAAAAGCCAGCAACAAATGCAACATTGACCTTGGTGCCGAAAGATTGGCGATCACCCAGCAACGGAATTTTGGTCGTGCCAATCAACATCAATCCGTGAGGATCCACCAACCTTCACAGCGGGTCTGTGCCAAGGCTGGGATTCCTTGTTCACAGTTGCGGCTCGACCCGCACAAAGATGAGAAACTCATCAGTCTTTCGCCCTCACCCCACCCTACACCCGCATTTCTTAGATCGCTCAGAGGGGACCACCCGGCCACGCCGGAGGTCCGTCCGGCGGCGCCTTTTCTCGCGATCCCATCAAAGCGTGGCGCTCGTGGGCTGCGAGGCACTGGCGACCTGAAAGGGCACCAGTTTTGAAAGAAATGACCCAATATGGGTGTCAAAGCGGGGATTTGGGGCCCCTCTACATGGTGGCTTCCTTTATTTTTCACCTTTCCAAAGCAATCAAAAAGTGTTAGGCACTCCCCTCCGCAAGAAACACACACACATATATAGATATATGACATATATATATATATACATACAATACCCAAAGCTACCGATGAACCAGCAACATCAATCCCACATCCCCGAAAATTCTCCCAAACGGCTTATACAAGTATACCAGGTAATAGCTCAACTATTGAAGACCATTGCTCACGAGCAATCGGCATAGCTATCAACAGGCTAGCTGGGGTACGTTCAGCTACCTGGAAGGTCCTCTAAGACTATATACCTGAATAGCGTCATCCTTAATCCGCAGGATCCAGAATCAGTGTCAAGCCACCTGGACATCCATCATCATCCATCACCACTTTGGGTCAAACCAAATGGCTATGGGTCAAAAATGCGTACCCAAAATGGAGCCCTGGTAAATGGAACCAACTAAAACCTGCCCCCTGGTGGTTTTAGTTTGACCCATACTCAAATCATGGACATCTCCCCCCCTTCCCAGCTGGGCTCCCGCCTCGTTTGATCGTGCGCCCTGGGTGTGGCTTTCGGCCTCTCACATAGCTCCGAGGGAGAAAGCGACTCGCGCGGACGAAAGGGAACCGAAAAAAGCTGCTCTCATGCATGGTCTTCCATAGCTCCAAGGAGATCCTGAAGATGAGGGCTCTACTTGGTAAGGGAGCAAGGTACTGGTGAGTCAAAGGGTCCCTCCGAAAATCTGCTCTCAGCCTCTGAATCATGTGCCGCAGTGGGCTGGGAGACCTGGCGAAATTTGTATCAAGGCACCAGTCGAGTCGATTTATCGATTGGAGCAATTGGAACTCACACGACTTCCATCTGACCATTTTCAAGGAATTGGAAGTAAGGCTTAAAACCCTGCTACCTGGTGCCAAAGGCAAACAAAACATCGTGCAAAGTACACCAGCAGCTTTCTGAACCTCAATCAGGCTAAAAGCAACTCTAGATGCTGAAAGAAGCACAACATGACAATAGAGAGAAGAAAAGAAGAAGCAACCCCTTTCAAAGTACATGTTTCAACGCCGTTCTTCCCCACCCTTTGAAATTGGCTTCACGCGCCAGCGCCCGTCTTGCACGTGTGTCGCGCCTCGACCTGCTGCTCGAGCATTTGCCTGGCAAGATACACTTTCGGACTTTTGCTAGCTAGCCGTCGCGCGTAGCCGATGCCTGCTTTGCATACAAAGATGTTGCCATGTCATCCAATGCCACGGATGATGAAAATCGTTGGATGGCGCATGGTTTGCGCTCAAATGCTAATACATGACAAAGACAAGCATGGGCACATCTAGTGTGCCAAGGAATGTCTGTGGTCGCTTGTTTGAGGAAGCAGCAAACTCATACATGAGTTGTGTTCGAAAAACCCAAGTCCGACCAACTTAGCACTCACAATTTCAACAGCAGGGATCACACCATACACATGCCAAGTTGTAGCGCTTTGCCACAAAAATACAAACCGTCTCGCTCAACAACCACCAGTCACACACACGCACACACACACAGACAGCACACCCACCCACCCACCCACCCACCCACCCACCCACCCACACACACACACAAAACACACACACACAAAACACTCAAGCACAGCCAAAATCGCAAGTGCAATCAAAACCTCATGACAAACTCTCTGTTAAACAAGCTGCGCAACCTCTGCATTTCCAGCCATTGCTGGACCTGCTCGAGCACACTCTGCTCACCTGGGCCGGAGGGCACTGGTATTCTTCTCTGCTGCAGGTGATGCACATGCACTGTGCACTAAGGATTTGATTTTGAGCTGGATTTTTGGGCATGTGGACTGCCATTCGCGACCAATGCATGCAAACCTGAACACTGAGCACTTGCTTTGAACAACTAGTTTACTGTGATTGATTGATAAATCTGTCTGTCGATGTCTTGGGAAAACTGCGCTAGACTATCTCTAGTGTGCCAAGGAATGTCTGTGGTCGCTTGTTTGAGGAAGCAGCAAACTGGCCACTCTTTTTAAGTGGGGCGCGGTCACTTCCTGACAGCTGCGCCGAGCCTCTCAGAACTTTGCCACGGGGCTGCCATCAGGTTGTTTCGGCACAATCGAAGAACTCTAGTCGGGTTTGCCAGCTAGGAAAGCAAGACTAGTCCCTATCCAACATATGGATTTGGATGCTTGCCAACATCAACCCGAAAGGCAATCCCATAACTCGCATTGCAACAACCTGACCCCTGGAAAGGTCTGCACATCACATATCCTGTGGCCACGACCTGGTGGCGCCTGTCGCCTGGCGAGCAAACCAAGCCTCTCGGCAAGGAATGGACATTGCTCGTGAATCTTCACTCAATATTTTGCGCGAGCCCGCATATATATATATATATTATAATGTAGATCAAACGCGTTGTGTGCTCCCATTAACATATATATATATATAATAGATCAACAGGTTGTGCTTTTTTACATTTGTCGCTTCGCCCAAGGCCAGGCAAGGACAACTTCGCCTAAAAAAGCTTCCAAATCAAAACTTTCAGGTACAGCAACCCTACAGGTAGCACAGGCCAACATCAAGCACCCGAATCCGCCCGTAGATCCCATGGAGCCCCGGGTTCCGCCTGGCCGCCTCTTCGGCTGCCAGCTCAAGCTCCTCCGGTGGAAGCCTCTGGTCGAATGGCTGCGGGGTTTGAACAGCAGCTCTCAAAGAACGACCATGACCAAACACGAAAATTTGGTCAGCTGACCTTTTGAGGACCAAGAGACACTTCCTTGACGTATGGTCCGCCTTGTTTTGTCATACGATCTATCACGCATTTTGATGCCGAGGAAGACTGAGAGAAGAGTATTTGCAGAGCGCATCATGGAACGTAGTTTGCACTGTATTTTCACTTATGCCCTCTCACTCCCAAGTAATCCGAATCAGGGCAGGTCTGCCCATCAGGTTTCGCGGCAAGGCCTGCAAAAACATGCCAGTGATTTTGTCCAGCATAAGCTCAGGATGTCGCCGATCCAGCCAGCGCACACGGATCTTCATATGGTACTTCTCGTAGACTGGGTCATGGATGATGTGATACCTGCTGTGCCCAAGCAGCAGCAAGCAACAAAAAAAAGAGGATAACCCAATCAAAAGCCATACAATATGCCGCTTGCACTGCAAGCTTTGCAGCAAGGTGTTCAGATGATTGAATGTTGAAGGAATATTGGTGAGGCCGCAAGTCATCATGCTGCTGAAACGGACGTCTTTGCTTCTTCAAAGGCATGCGGGATCCCTAAATTTCTGCTGCGGATCGGGCCAAGGCAAGCCAAATGAACCATTGACATGCAGGACCTTTGCTCAATCGTCCTGTAACTTCTTTTGAGGCCAGCGCTGGCGACCATGTTTGCTCCATTCACGGCCGTTCCACCACCTCAGGGCGACACAGATCGAAAACTGCAACCGCGGTGAAGCCAAGATTCTGCGTGCTTCCATGTCAGCCGCTTCTGTAGTCATATTATCACAAGGCCTGCATGTCTCTCAAACAAAAAGAAGGAAACGGCCAAACACCTCAACCAGAACTTTCTACCATTGGGTTTCGTCGTGCCGTACTTATATCAAGTGGTGCTTCAAAGACTGTATGGGGATGCTTGCGAGCTCTGCCGCCCACAATTCTCTCAGAATTCTTGGACCCAAAGGATCTTGCCCCATAGTTCTGCTGCACCATGACTTGAATTGCCAACTGTTTCGGACCTGGCAAATATCCAGTGCAATTACATCACAAGCTTTTGTCTTTGCGGGCAAAGCACGTTAGCATAGAACAACGGGTCGAGATTTAATTTGAGGATTTGTTTTTGTTGTATTTTGGGATTTTTTGTTTCTTGTCTTTTTACAACATTTTCTCACGAAATGTATAGCCCGCCCGTCAACATCATCAGCATCGTTTTCAACATCCCCCGCATGTCCAGCCAACATCCCCCGCGTGTCCAGCCAACATCCCCAGCATCACCAGCAAATCGAGGGCCTTGGCTTCCTACACCCTCAGAATCATCAGTTCCTCTCCCGGCAAGGTAAGTATATAGGTATTTATGTATGCATGTTGAAAAACACCGGGGGAGGGGGGGGCCCGCATGATGGTAAAGTGAGGGTTCATGTCAAGAGACGGCAAGGTGACGTCCCGTGGGACGCTATGCACCGAACCCTCAAGCTGTAATACCAACCACGTAGAAAGGTGTATACGGACGATGCCGTTATAGCCGAACCCGTGTAAACGTTGTAAGGGAGAAGGAATGATAGTTA